TCCCGTGGGCGGATAAACTAGCACGTCAGCAGGCGGAGGGGATGTACGCTGGGAGGTATGTGCTTGAGACGGCGTCTTCGAACGACACGCTCGTTTTGTCTTCGACGGCGGGTCCGGGTTTGGCTGTCGAGGCGCTGAGCGTCAATGGCGTTGATATCATTGCTGCTTTGGCTATGAAGCAACAAGTCCCACTGGACAACTTTAGCGCGAGGCTGTACCCAACTGATCTAGATTCTCTGGGTACGCAGAGCGAGAACTGGAGGATGCTGCCTGATCAAATCAGCCCGGCGAAGAAGTTGTGGGCGGGGCTGGAGTGTATGAGTTGGAATAATGGGGATTGGGCGAGGTATGTGGGGGAGCCGCTTGATACGATTATGTTTCGTGTGGATGCCGAAAGTGGGAAGGTTGGGAGTGTGGAGTTGCTTGGTTGGAGGGTGAATTTGGTGAAGGTGGATTGAGGTGCTTGGCTGTAGAGTTTTGGATTGTAGACCGTGAACTGAGGTTTCGATATAATTCGAGATGTCTGTACACATTCATGTTCATCCGAAATGAATTGAAATGTGTTTCTTCGATACCTAATATATGCAATTGTAGAAACACCAGCTACCAGCCTTCTCACGCGTCCCGACCACGACTAAACACCAACAACGAAAGTACTACCGCAAGATGCTAGTAGCAAAGGGGGTATCGAATATACAAAGCACGAACGAAAGCCCAGCCACCTCCACCCACTCAACATGACCAGTTCCATCCTCCCCCAACAACACCCAGGTACCCAGGTACTTCAAACAACAGTAAAAGTCCTCTGCGGATAATTATCCAACTGCGTCATATCCTGAATCTCAGGGAACCAGTGTTCAAACAGCGCCTCCGCATCCTCACTCATCTCCTGTTCCGTCCCCTCAGGCGTACACTCATAGCATTCCAGTCTGCCGACACGATGATACGTGTTATTCCCCGCCGAAGACGAAGACTTGAGCACGATGCCTACTATGGAAGAGCGGAATGTCATGCTCACGAGGACGCAAACGAGGGTTTCGCCGTCTTGCAGCGCGTCTTCGCCGCGGGGAGGGACGACGTCGGGAGTGAAGTCAACGGTCATACCGTTTTTAGCCAAGGTATACGAGGGTGGTGCATCTGGCGATGCAGATGAAGAAGGCGGAGACGAATGAAACACGACTTCTGCGGCCATGGCACCTGAGAGTTCGAGGGGCTCGCCCATGATGGGTGACCACGCACTCGCACGCTTGCCTTTTGGACCGAAGGAAGCGCGGCAGGCGAGATCCATGGCGCTTGTGTTGTCGAAGAAGATGGGAGAGCCTTCGACGGAGGCCCACGACCAACTTGGCACGTTTTGTCCTTGGGCTAGTTTGGGGCGCCGGCAGCGTGAGCTGTCGTTGGGATACCAGAGGAGGCCGAGGGTGCTGAAGGTCCATTGCCCGGCTATGTAGCCTGATTGGAGGGTTGGAGAGAGGGCTTTGGCGATGCTTGCTATTGCTATCAGGCGGTCGCTGTCGTAGGTGAGGTGGCGTGCGGTGTATTCGGTTATGATGTAGGACCAGAGTTGGAGTGTCTCTTCGCGTCTGCGTAACAGCTCTTGTTGGGCGCCATTCGTGAGATTCGTAGAGGCCAGTTGGTTTGTCATGCTGTCCATCCGAGTGTGGCCCATATTTCCGTTGGTGTTGGCTTGTTGTGGTCTGTTTGCTGTTTCGTAGAGGACTCTGCCAAACTCTTGCTTGACCTGGTCGCATGGCCGCGTGTCATATGTATTGTCGTCGATACGCCCGCATTCGCATTGGTAGCCTTCTCGGCATTCTAGAATCATCTCGCTCTTGGTGAAGTGCAGCACTCTCGGCGAAAGTAGGCGTTCGGCGTACGGCCATGCGCGAATCAAGAGGGGCGTGTGTAGATTTGCTTCTTCGGTCATGTTGAAGGGTAGCTCCCACTCGTTCATGTGAGCATTTCCGTCAAAAGGCGCCTTGAAACTGTAATGAGTCGGCTGCTCCCGCACGTTGATCTTATGTAGCGAGCCTTTGTTGTCCGTTGCTTGGATCTTGAATGGCTGTGTTTTGGGGGGAAAGAGGGGTTGGGTACTGCTGTCGGATGCGGAGGTCGCCGCAATTGTCAAGAAGGCGTTGCCGAAGATCTCATCCATCTTGAGCGAGTCTTCAAGCTTCTCCTGGACGTCATCTTGTATCAGGCACAGACTATCGATAAACAGCCAGCGGAAACCAAGCGCTCGGGTGAGGAAGACGGCCTCTTGGTATGCTCTTGGCAATGTTGACCATGGAATGCTCTTCTTGTGTGATTGCAGGTTTGCCAAAGTCGTTTTCGGGATACCTTTGGCCAGTCCCCAGACATGACTCAGGGCGATGTACTCGCCGTGTTCGTATCTCCTCTCGTCTTGGATGTATTCACTTTCGTGCAAGCGCATGCTCTTGGAGTCGTCGCGCGACAGCAGATCTAGAACGCGCTTCGGTAGTGTGGTCGGTTTACCTCGGCGACTGCATGTAACATGGTTCTCTATGCAATTCTTTATCAAGCCTCGCGCTGTTGCTAAGCCAGTACTCTGTAGTGGATTATCTGTCACATGTTTTCCGCGCCCAATGGCGGAGAAAGGAGACTGGCCGTCTGCGGTGTTGTCAGTCCACGCGTTCCTGCAGAGCGAATGAGCTAGCAGTAGCCCTGGAGGTGACCGTTCCACGACCGCGACCATCACTACATCAACCGAAGCACGTCGGAAGGAAATTTGGCATACCTCCATCGGTGAAGAACTCGAGTTTCAGATCTGCATGGCCTGCTGCATGTTCATGTTCGTCCTCGTGGCAATCGTCATGGTCGTCGTTGTCTTTCCATCGGAGCTCGACGGAAAGATGTTCTTGGGGAACTTTTCCATTCTTTGGCCTGAATGTTTCTGCCTTCACTCTCACATTGTCTTCGTTCATGTTTGGGAACCGGTCGTGGTGTAGGAGGATGCCATTGAGGAGGAGCGCGCACGCGCGGCAGGAATTTGATCTCGACCTCAGGTTTGGCAGCGTCGTGTCGACCCAAACGAGGGAATCTGGCCCATTCTCTTGCACGCTGTCCGATCCATGGAGGTGCTTCTGGAGACCTTTACATGTCGCGCAAACAGATACCATGGCGTCGTGGAGTGGTTGAAAATGGGTGATGGATATGACGACGGTGCGGGGTGCTGAGGTTCGTTCCCGTTGTTCCGCGGGGCGGCAGGACAGTGTTAGGGAGATGGCACACTGACCAGGTATACGTCAATTGAAACCCCTTAAGCAGTCGCTACTAGTGAAAATGCTGGACCACGAAGCCAGTAGCAGCAGCTGACATTTGCATGCGGCTTCCAGACCATTCGACGGCCTAAGGTGGAAGGTCAGCTCTGTACCAAACCAAAAAGTGGAGGCGCCACTACTAATCCTACGGGCAGTGAACCTCTCCCGCTCTTGTGGGGGCGCCCAGCTTCCAAAGCACAAGGATCTCTCGGCGCAGTGCGACGAGGCTAGAATTATCATTTGCAGAAAGATAAGTATTCGGCGACCTATCGCCGCCTTCTCTCGCCCCTCGTTCGAAGGCCTGCAGCACAGATCATCGGGCACTGCGCATGGCGATATCATCCAAGCTGGTGCATGCTGACATCTATCCTGCGCCCGCCGAACCTTGGTAACGAATGGATCGCGACGAATGCCTAGGTGCCGCTCGTTCGGTGCTTCTCCCGTGAACACGACCCTCGCGCCCGCAGATCTGGGTCAACGTGCTTCAGCCCGTTTGTTCAATCATTCGTCAACGCAATGCTTTTTTCGAGCTGCTAGCCTACCAGCAGAATTCATGATGAAACACGAGCTGAGCCATTGTTCGGCCAAGTGCTGCATTTAGCAGAAGTGACATCCAGATCCTCACCTGACAGCAGCCATGAGAATGTCTTCATATCCAAGCCATCCGGCATCAGCAGAGCCGTATTGCCACACCGACGTTGTTCAGCCTGCTTTCAGACACCAGCGCAGGGAGATGGCAGCCATGGAAAACGCCCTACTTTCCGCCTCGAAAGCCGTCTCATACAACCAATCGTTCCTACGGAACTTTTCTGACTTGCATTATATTTCCAAATCCGGCGAGTCATCCTTCTATATACAATCTATCCACCGGTCTCCCATCAGCATGTCAGATTCGTCAATCGTCTTTCGGCTGCCTCGACTACCGATCGGTCGCGAAAGGACGGCGACACCTGCATGCCTGCACCTGCTCAAAAGATTGGCAGAATTGCATTCGCGCAAGGCTTCATGCATCAACGATATAAAGCCCAATGAAAAGGTCAACCTGCAATCTTCCGCTGCGTGTCATCACTTGAGCTTCGAAAGGGTGGTCAGGCCAGGGCCCACCAGATCGAGTCCATCTACATCCATGAGCCACTTCGACCGCCTTGTATGCAAGCCTTCACGACTCTGCCTCGCCATTCGGTCTGCGGTCTGATAGCCCGGGCCAACGATATGAAATGGGCGTCAACCGCTGCCCTAAGAGCTCCCTGTGTTCAAATGGTCGCTAGAGGCTGTACGCCCAAGCATGCTGAAAGCGAAGCCAACATCACGAGAAGATGCTGCCTAAAGTCGTGGAGGCTTGAAGGATGAAGTTGCGCATCGTTCGTGAAGTGCGATCTCGTAGTGACCTATAGCGTGCCGACTACATACTCCATTACGCGTATCATCGTCACGTGGGCTCATAAAGTTCTCTTCCAGGACATGCGGCGCTCATCAATCGGTGGAACTCGATATTTTTAATCTTGTTCACTAAACGTGACTTTCGTAAGTCGCGTCTTACTCAACATTACCACGAGACTGCGCGTCGTGTCCGAGTGAAGGGCACAGCGCACTAATACAATCGAGACTAGCGTTGCGGGACTGCATGTGGTAGCGACGACCCGGCCCCACATCGGGCTGCCACAAGCATCCCAGACGTGCCAGAGTCACGATGTAGGCAATTCGCCTGGCAACACCAACATGACTTCGGTTATCAGCGCATTGCGCAAGCAAATTGCAACATGCGAAGCCACACTCAAAGACCTGCGCCAACAGCTGGCGGAAGCGGAGCACAATCAACGCGAGCAGGGCAAGATTGTGCCGCAAAAAAGGCGACTGGCAACTGATCCTGTAAACCCCATGGATCATGACATGAATTTTGGAGTCCCGGATCAGTTCCGCGACGAGATCTTTTCTATACTCCAGCAAGAGCAAACGGCGCCGGAAGCCGCGGGCACTGTAGCTGAAGAAGCGCCAAAATGGCCATTGGAGAAGAACGAGTACAAGAGATATGGAAGGCAGCTGATCATGCCTGAGATCGGCCTAAAAGGTAAGTCCAGTCTTGAATGAGGATACTTGAAACCGTGCTGAGCTCGAATTCCTTAGGTCAGCTTCGTTTGAAAGATGCCCGGGTACTCATAGTAGGTGTGGGTGGTCTTGGTTGTCCAGCTGCTGCATACCTGGTCGGAGCAGGGGTTGGTACCGTTGGACTAGTCGATGGCGACGTTGTAGAAGAATCGAATCTACACCGACAAATCTTACATTCTACGGCCAGAGTTGGAATGACCAAAATCGAGAGCGCGATGGTGTCTTTGAAGTCGTGCGTCTACCCATCAATCTGTACTACGGGAAACCCCAGCTAACCTACTAGACTAGGCTCAACCCTAATGTTACACTCGTCCCTCACACATCCCGACTCAGCCCAGGGACTGCGGTTTCGACATTCAAACAGTACGACTTGGTTCTAGATTGCACAGACACTCCCGCATCGCGCTACCTAATATCCGATACATGTGTCCTCCTCGGCAAGACGCTCGTCTCCGCATCAGCCCTCCGCATAGACGGCCAAATGATGGTCCTGAACAACCCACCCTTACCAGCCGGCGATCCCAACGGAGGCCCCTGTTACCGCTGCGTCTTCCCCAAACCCCCACCCCCCGAATCCGTCGTCTCATGCGGCGACGGTGGCATCCTAGGACCGGTCGTTGGCGTAATGGGCGTCTTGCAAGCACTCGAAGCGATCAAAGTCCTCACCCACAAACCCACCACCACACCCGCAGATCCGCCGAGTCTTCTTCTCTTCTCGGCTTACTCAAATCCCATGTTCCGGTCTATACGGCTCAGGAGTCGGAAAGCGAAGTGCGCTGCTTGTTCGACGCACGCAACGATTAGTGCAGAAGCGCTGGATTCGGGCAGTCTGGACTACGTTCAGTTCTGCGGCAGTTTACTTCCAGATAACAATCCACTGGCCCCTGAAGAACGTATATCAGCGAAGAACTACGCCCAATTACGGTCCGGTGTCAATCCTTTCACGGGCACAGTATCGAAGAAAGAAAGTCACTTGCTAGTTGACGTCCGTGAGAAAGTACAGTTTGAACTGTGTAACATCGACGGTAGTATCAACGTGCCTTTCTCTACGGTCTCAGCCACCCGGGGACCTACCTCTGCCGTCGAAGAAGAGGACTGGACCAAGATGCTACGCCAATCTGAGAAGCCCATCTTCGTTGTGTGTAGATTGGGTAACGACTCGCAGGTTACGGTCAAGAAGATGAAAGAGCTTGGACTCGATGCGGGCGGGAAGAGGTATATTGGTGATATCAAGGGGGGTCTGCAGGCGTGGAGAAGTACTGTCGATACTGAGTTTCCGGATTACTGAGTTTGTAGTTCTAAATCCTCCATGTAGATAAGAGCACTGAGTCGGAATCAGCATTCCTAGTCAAACATCTTACCTACCAAGCTCAACAACAAACCTCTTGCCAGCCCCATATCCCTCCACCATCCTCCCCAAAACCCCATCAACGCTCTCTAAGCCCTTCACCATCTCAACCTCCTGCGCACTCATCCACCCCTTCTCCATGCCAAACGGTAAATACGTCCCCACAACCCACTCCATCAGTCCTTCATTCCCCTCCTCGTACAATGAGTCTGACCACGGTTCAAACACCCTCTCTACACCCTCTGGCAAGCGCTCAGGACTGAACATAGGCTGTGTAGCGAAGAGTTTGCCACCGCCTTGGGAGGCTAGAATGCGGCTTGCGAGGGGGATGGTTTGGGGAGTGGATATCATATCCACGACGACAGAGTAGGGGCCTTTTGCAATAAGTTCCACGATGATTTGGTCGGGTGGAAGTGTGTGGTCGACGACGTGACTTCTACTCCCGCTGAGCGTACGCACAGTACCCATGTGCTGTGGTGAAGACGTTGTGATAACATCGTACCCTGCGCATCTGAGGTACTGCACTGCTAGACGGCCGAAACTGGAACTTCCGCCGTAAATCAAGGTCTTTTCTCTTTCTTCGCCTTCTTGGACCTCATCACCTGGCTTGCGCAATCCCAGCCGCCCGGAGAAGAGACCGGCAACACAGCTTGCGTTCATTATCAACGCTACCAACGCTGCTGCTTCATCTTTGTTCATGCCTTCCGGTATTCTGGCTACCATTTCCTCCCCTGCAGCAACGAGGACGTAGCGTTGATACGCGCCATATGCGTTTTCCTGTGTACTGAATCTCTTGCTGACGAGGACGCGGTCGCCAACTTGATACTTCGTGACTGAGGAACCGATGGCGACGATAGTGCCCGTGTAGGAAGAGCCTGGGATGAAGGGGTAGGAAGGCGGTGGTGGGGTGCCACGTTTCGCGATCTTGGCTTCGATGGCGTTGATGCCGATGAGGGAGACTTTGATTAGGAGTTCGTGGGCGGAAGGTGTGGGGATGGGAAGGGCCTGTAATGTGAGAGGGGAGTTTGGGGATGTGAGGATTGCGGCTTCGTTCATTGTGGGTGACTGTTGAAAATCGCAGTTGAGTTGTGCCAGAGAATGGATTTGATGGTCTATTATACATTTGCATGGCTGTTTACTACTACGTGTTGGTGTAGAGCTCAAAGGAGGTGGCTGCAGAATACAAGAGTCGATGATTAAGCGATCATGATCCTACGGAAAGTTTCCGCCACGCATTACACAGCGCGATGCTGGGCTGCCGTGCTTTTGCCACATCATTGCTCACGTTAAGTCGATTGATCGGAGATTTTGTGATCATGCTGACATCGGCTCGCACCGTCGGGGCTATGAGGCTTTGAAATGCGGGAGAGTAGGGCGCCTAATCCGGACGATGCAGACACGGATGGGAAACTCGTGCCTCGTCAGAATGCCTGGCCTACTTCCTGCCAACGTGTCCATGGTCCCGCGGGTATCTCTTCAGTGTTTTTCGCCTGCCAATTCGCTCCACGGAGCCATCGGCGAGATCTCATTCTTATTCCGAAACGGCACGGCCTCACTGCTGTGCAAACTCAGGCTTCGTCTGCATATTGCTCTGCACATGGCTCTTGAGCGCCGCCCAGCGATCTTGTACTGCATCAGCACCCTGTGCCCCTTTCCCACTCCCGCCCACAAGCTGCGCCAGATTTGCATTAAACCTCTCCTTCTCCAACTTCTCCAGCTTCTCCTTCCGCTTCTTCGCACCCTTTGTTTTCTTCATGCTGTCGGGCATCTTCTGAGGTTGCACTATCCGCGCTTGACTTGTTTCAAGCCCATCTTCTCCAGACTCTGGCAGTGCGTCGGCGAGCGATTCGAGGTTTGCGATGAGCTTGTTGTTAGGGCGTCGCCGTTTTTGGGTCTTGGCAGAGGACTTTTCGATTTTGGATACGAATGAGGAGTGTTTGATCTTTAGCTTGTCGCGCTTGGAGGATGGATACGAGGGGATGCCGTCGGGCTTTGGGAGAGTTGCGGTGGTAGTGGTGGGACGGGCGGCGCGAGCTGACTTTGCGCGCGCTGTTGTGCGCTTCTTTATGGGTGCCTATCCGCTTAAATAAGTATTTACTGTATTGTATAGAAGTCAGCAGAGAAACATACCATGGCTGTGTTGTGTGTAGGCAAAGTTGGATAGTTCCTGTCGCATAGGGCTCGATTGCTGTTGCGCAAAAGTTCTTATCGATAACGACAAGTGCCGACGTCAACCACCCGGCCCGTGCGACCTTCACAGACACTGGACGCACAACTCGACTTCCGTCTCACGACCCTCCATCCGGATGTAACTTCGCGGCTACACGAGATTCACGACTTCATACGCAGCTGCAACTGTATGACCTTCTCCGACGTGGTTCAACGGGCACATCGCCTCAGTGAGCTACCACGGCTCCTCTGCCTCCTCATCGTGCCCCTTTGCTCATCCTTGTCGCATCTACCGGACTAAGTCATGTGTTTCACTCTTCACAGACTTCCTGTCATCATGTACACGCCCGTGGTGCTTGAGGCAACGCGTTCATCTCCGCCTGGATGAAGTCCGAAAGAGCTGCCTCACTCGACGCCACCAACGGCGAGTCGGACTCCGCACCAAACAGCAAGCAGCAGTCCTTCTCGCAGCCGAGTCATCTGGTCATGCTTCAACCTGGGGCAGGACTGCTTTATCGAACCCTCCGGTAAGACTGCAGCATATCGGACTTGGCTAGGTGCGGCCCGTTCCCGACCACCAACTATTGGCCGTCCGTCGCATGACGATCCTCGTTGTGATCACCTATGATGCACTACGATGGCATAATTTCCCTCGTTTTGTTTCTTGCAGGGTTCGCTCCAGTAGAACATGTCATAGAAGCGATTGCCACAGGCATGTCAAGGTATACGAGAGAGTATTGCTTTTTTACAACCCCAAACCTGTCCTGAAACGCTATCATCTAACCTCAGCTGCCACCATCTGCGGGTTGGCAGCGCTCCGGCATGTACAACATCCCCGTATCACTGTGGCGCCATCCTTCATCCCAACACTACGGACCTGGGCTCAGCTCCACGACGGCCGTCTAGCCTAGATGCAGGCACGCGTGCGACCGATCAGCATCGAATCCCGCCCACTGCCGTCATGTTGTTCTACGATTCGCTGCGGATCGCGACTCATATCCCTTCCGCTTCTATTTGTGGTTCTCTAGACGAAACTATACGAACCCCTCGTCGTCTCTGCCGCGACAAAAGGCAATCATTCGCATGAAATGCAAGACGCGTAGTCCTGGTGACTCGGACTTTAAGGGAGCATTACGAACAGCGTATGCAGCTTGTCCGAAGTTCGAGAACATCTGGCCCTATTCATCTCCTTGTAGCCGCCAACATGCTATTTCGATAAAGATTCATCAAGGCTCATTTCAATGCAATCTCCGAACCGCGCAAGACACGATGTGCGAACAAGCCCAGCATGAGAATGCGCTCATTTCAGCTCAGAATCATGGTACTATTCTGGTAATGGTAGCTTGGTTTCTTGCTTGCCTATTGGTACGAGTTCCCTCTTGGTATCCATCTCAATGCTGATCATTGTCATAGGCTATATGCACTGTAGCAAGAGTCGTCGCTCGATACAGATCTGAACACCTTCGCCATCTCTCGTCGACAGATGACGTCATTATCGTTACCGCATCAGTCTTTGCCATTGGAAGCACCGTGATAATATCCACGGCTGTTGAATCGGGCCTGGGGAAGAGGGACTGTCTCCTCAGCGATGATGACTTGGAGCAAATCCAACTCAAGCTTTATGTTACGACGATACTCTTCGTTTTGACAATAAGCATCGCCAAAAGCTCGGTCCTACTGTTCCTCTATCATCTAGCAGATAGCACACTACGCAGGGCAAGCGTCCTACTTGTTAGTACACTGGTTCTGATATGGACCATTGCAGTTCTAGCAGGCATGGTCTTCCAGTGCGAGCTACCGACGCCGTGGCTGGTGTGGACGGGGAAGTGTATCCCCTTGGTAAGTCCGGTTGTCATACCGTGACTGAACGCGTTCTAAGTATAGTACAGATACCTTTCTGGATGATCGCCACCATCACGGATACTGTTCTAGAAACAGCCGTGATCACTCTCTCGGTACATCACATATGGACACTGCGGGAATCCTACCGCCAAAAGACCTTGGCGACACTACTGTTGTCCATGCGCTTCATGTAAGCAAAGGACCTTTTACTCAGCTGAGACCTTGCTGACATTCTGTCTAGCTTAGTTGCAGCATCTGTCATTCGTCTGGTCTTCCTTCGACAAGCATATGATCGCAACGGAGACCCCGCTTTCGACTCTTTACCCTACGCCGTGGTCACACAAGGCCAGACGACACTAGCCGTTCTCATCGTTTGCAGTCTCTGCCTCAAGCCATACTCTCGCTTCCAAGCATCCCAATCGCCGGCCCCCAAACCCAAATCAAGACACTCGAAAAATTGGTCTGGTAGCATCACCATTGGTGGCACGCCCTACGAATCATACAAGTCGTTCCCACAACCGATCATACGAGAACCCCTGCTTGCTATACAAGCGAGCATGTCTACACCAAACTCGCCGGCAGGTTCCAGGCACTCGCTGAATGAAGATATACTGCTGCCAGATACACCGATACCCGCGCGATCTGCTAGAAGACCTCCTCGGCCTCCTCCACCAAGTGAGGAGCAAAGACCGGATCTAAGTATGTTCACTCGAAGTCCTACTACACAGCAGGCGCCAGTAGTGACGAAACTTACTGTTTGTCAAGAGAGAGAAAAGGGAATGGACTTGAAGTCAAGGGGCTTATTGATCCGATAGAGCACATGTATCTCTGTTCGTTCAAAATAGTTATAATGTATTCTGCTGAGCGGTTGCGACAAGTAGCTACGATGAATAATGCATTAGCCGATGTACCCTCAAGAAAGCAGTCGC